GATCCAGAGGCCCTGCTCCACGCATGGGCTCTCCCCAAGCCTACAGGCCCGCACATGCTTTCTGGCTTCCCTCAGCTCATTCCTTCCTCTCTAGGTGAACCACTGCAGCCAGGCTCTCAGCCCTGCTGGAATCTTGCAGCTCTAATCTTATCAGTCTGACAGACAAGTAACCTCCACTGACTGTGTTTGTTTGGGTGGGTTGTTAGGTCCATGACGGGTACAGATGAAACAAGGACCTTTTAGAACGGAACCAATTTGGCACACAATCTTGTTCATTTTTCATCTGTTGTCTTTTACTAATGGAATATTTTCACCTGACCCGTCAATCTTTCTCTAATTATATCTTCATTTCGCTGCTCTGCGTCACCACTACTGCCCCTCATGACTGAAATGTTGTATTTTGAAGCCTTTGGGCTACTTACTAGAGACTCATAATACCCATAATTTAAAGAGGAAAAAAATAGTTAGAAAACTTTGGTGTCTTAAATGCAACAGCATGGCCTTGAAACACTATAGAACTTGTAGCCTAAAACTAAATTAGCCAAAGCCTGGATTCACATGCAGTTGGAGATCAAAACAGGCTGAAATGCCTTAGGCAACACTTATGCTTAAGTCTATAATTAGACAACAACTGCTACAATATCGCAAGGAAACTGACTTTTACAAATGAATCAACTGAGATTTAAAAAAAGAAAAAAGGTCAGCCTATTCTAGCAATTTATTAAGGGACAATGTTTCAGTTGCAAATAATTTGTATAAAATAAATAAATTCATTTAAAATTAATTAGTTTTATCATAAAATAAGCATATTGAAAGATTATACCAAAATCAGAAACTCTATCAAAGATTTTTGAATCACATAAAAGTTTAGTTAATGGCCCTTCAATTATTTACCAACTAATAACAAATATACAAATTTCAGTGTTTTGTCTATGTCATTAGGTTGTTTCAAAAGAGCAGATGGTACAACACACTGATACAAAAACATCTTCTGCCAAATTATCTTCAGAATTCTATCAATCCAACACTTGTAAAATTCAATCCAAGATAATAATCTAGTATTGTTAAGTAAATGTGGGGATTGATTTTTTTTAGTTTAGTCTTACTGAGGGCATTCCATGAAGATGTATATTCAAAGTCACAAATAAAATAACTAAAGGGCTTCCGGGTGAATGCCATTGACTGTAATAGTCCTGGTTTTATGTTACTGAGCTTTAAATCTGATTCACAAGCAATCACATGCACATTAAAAGTAAATGGAATTATTCTATAAAAAATATGTCTAGGGTAGGTGCTTTATTTATCAAATACTTACTATGTTCACACTGTGCTATGGTAGACATTACTCCCATTTCAAAGATGAGGACATTGAGGCTCAGCGAGTTACCCAAGAGCACACAACTGTGAACCTGAGTCTTGCTGATTCTTTCCCCTATGCCTCTCTGACTCAATTAATACATAGGTTGAAATTTTTTTCTTCTCTAGTCTATTGGGTCAAAAAGGACTGGAATGTCAGTCATCAAGTCTTTTCTGGTGTGTAGCAATCATGTTGTGAAATAGGATTTAACCATATTTTAGGTGTCCTATCACAGTATTCATGGCATTTCCACCCTTTTCTAAAGGTTGTGGCTTTTCTTGATCTCTTTCTCCCTGATATCAAACAATAGGTATTTACCACAAATGTGAGAAAAAATGTTCCAGGAAATGCACTGCAACAAACAAAACTCTAACAATATTTAATGGTGTGGGAAGAGGGAGAATCCCCCTCTGCCCTTTCCCTTAAGGTTCTTATGGCTGGCCAAATAATTAAAAAGACAGGGCAGCAGGAGAAAATAATACCAAGTTTAATAACATGTATACATGGGAGAAACCAGGGAAACTGAGTTTCTCAACACAATAGCAGAGATTCTCATCTTAAATACTATCTTCAGCTAAAGACAAAGGAGGATGTTGGGGGTGGGGGGAGTCAGTTATGGGAGATTATCAGAAAAGCACAGTAAGGTTATTATGCAGATTTAAGGCCTCACCTTTCAAAGTGATAAGTTTTTAGAGATGAGGTCATCCCCCCTCTTCCCAGTACAGAGAAGGAGATACCTTTACACATGGAGATTTCCCTTATAAATGTAAATGTTTGTCTGGCAACTCCTAGCAGAGCCACCTAGAGAATGTGGCCTGGAAGAGACAGAATTTTTGAAAAGAGGGGCCCATTGGTGCCTTTCCTATTGTAACATCTATTTTACACTATACTACAGCCATCAGATAGTAACTCCTTCCTGGAACAGGTCTTCTATGTCAAATTCTTTAGGCAGTTAGTGGGGGAGGTCAAATATCCGTCAGAGAAAACAATCAAGGTAAAGAGACATATTTCAGGGTGGCCAAATCTTGATCTCCCACAATAGTTATAAAAATGGAAAAATGTAATGGGTCTGAGCAAAAAGCTACATGTTCTAGGAAATTACAAGTATTTGCAGATGATGTGAAGGGATTCCTTCTAGAAGATGAGTTCCCTGTTTTAGTTTGCAGATAAAATTGAACTTAACTTGATAACAAGTCTTGCAAACACAAAGATTACTGACTAATTGAGGGACAGTGTGAATAATGAAGAAAAAAGTTACCATCCTCTCACTTAGTGATTAGTCTGGAGGTGATGACTTAGGACAGCAATAAGTCTTACTGCCTTGCTACCTAGAAAGACGGGATATCAAAGGTTATCGCATGTGAGCTTATCATTCCTTCCTCTGAATACACAGAAGGGAGCTGTGTGGCATCTAACACATAGCAGTTTCTGATTCTTGACGGTTGATACCTATCAAGTCAGTCTCTGGACAAAGGTGATGTCAGTGAGCTAATTCTGTTCATTCTTTTATTCCATCATTCATTCCTACATTTATTCAACTAATCAATATTTATTTAACAATATTTTGTATAAGACACTGGGCTAAATACTGGGGAAAACAAAAAAAGACGTGACCTCTGCTTTCCCCCCTAGAACCAAAGTCCTCCTGTCAAGGTTGGCCCACGTCATCCAACTTAACATTTTCCTTCCCAGGCAGAAATTTTGAGCAGCATTGTTCAATATTAAATCTTAAACCAGAGCCAGCCCTGATGGCCTAGCAGTTAAAGTTTGGCACGCTCCATTTCAGTGGCCCACGTTCAGTTCCCAGGTGTGGAACCACACCACTCGTCTCTCAGCAGCCATGCTGTGGCAGCCGCTCACACAGAAGAACTTACTACTATACACAATTATATACTGGGGCTTTACACAATTATATACTGGGGCTTTGGGGGAGAAAAAGAAGAAAAAAGAAGGCAGATTGGCAACAGATGTTAGCTTAAGGTGAATTTTACCCTTCAAAAAAAACAAAAACAAAAACAACTTAGTGGCTTAAAGCAACAATTAAAAATAAATAAATAAATATTAAATAGGGATGCTACAGAACAATACAATTGCTCTATTAATTTGGAAAAGGGCAATCTGAATAAAAGACTGAATTGTAGACTATGTAGAAAGAAAAGCAGTTTAATTCCACCACCCGAATTACTAAGATATTCAGAACTAGGTTGCGGAATTCCTCCTTCCACATACATGTTTTTAAAATATTTATTTCAATCAATAGTTTAGCTTAGTTGTAAATTTACGTCAATCATTTCTATGGATTATAGAGCTTAGAAGAGTCTTGAAGAAAGTTTATTCTTCTAATTTGTTAAATATTTTGGATAGCTTAATTATGCTATTAATGTACTTAGCAGATAAAGCCTTTCTTTATAGATCTGCACTGCCCACTACATTAGCCGTTAGCCACGTGTGGCAACTGAGCGCTTATGGTGTAGCTAGCCCAAATTGAGCACAAGATGTGCTGTACACATAAAACAGACACCAGATTTCTAACACTTAGTACAAAAAAAGTATGCAAAAATCTCAATCATTTTTATATTGGTTGCATGTTGAAATTATATTTTGAATACGTTGGGAAAAATAAAATATGTTATTAAGCTTTATTTCTTCTATGCATTTTCATTTTTTTAATGTGACTACTAGAAAATTTAAAATATGTGTCTTGGATTATATCTCTGTTGGAGAGTACTGTTATAAATAATATAAAGGAAAGCTTTCCAAGGCATTAGTAGGTTCTAATTATTGTCTGTGGAAGACAAAAATAAAATGAAAAATGTCCTAATGAATCTGAAAAACCATCCTTCCAACCCAAGGCAAAAAGAACTTATGCAAAATCAGCCTAAGTGCAAGGGGCACACCTGGTTCAAAGGAAGGAACTGTGAATGTAGGGTGAATGCAAATAGGGCAGAAAATAGCCACGAGGCCTCAGGGAACCACAGCTCACCACTTAACGCCTCTGAAGAGTCGGCCCCACAACGTGATAAGAGGTGTAGGAGTTCCAGGGGAGTGGAATCTACATTTAAAAAAGAATATGTGAAGTGATTAAAAAAAAAACAAAAAACAGAATTCATGACAGTAAAGCATTGGTGGAAGGAATGTAGTGCCCTGAGAAGCAGGTTAAGAAATGAGTGGACTTTGCCCCATTGGACCAGAAAGTCCCTCCTTTGTGGCCCCTCCCCGCCTGCCTCTGAGTCCCAGAACTGATCAGGGAGGAGCGCTCTCGTCTTTGACGCTGATGGTGAGCCAGTGACCCCCTCCTAAGGTGTGTGGGGACTCAAAGTTAGCATGAGGCTCTCATTCTAACTTAGCTGAATGGTTTTGAGATGCTATTTCTCTTCTGTACTTTGGCGTCTCTGTTTTGTCCCTTTCAGCTCTTCCTCTGTTTTGCTCTCTCAGTGTCTGAAATTCTCTCTCAGCTCAGCTATAGGGACTACCCTGGGGCACCCTTCCTGCCCCTACCATCTTCTAGCCTGGAAGTTCACTCCTCTTGCTGTCAGACCCATTTCTTCACCCGTCCAATCATATTCTACATGGTTTAGTCAACTCCAAAAAAAATTTTTTTAAGAAATTTATCTACCAACCAGTCAGATGATTATGAAAGAAGGCAGAGTTGTAGGCAGATGTATTACAATACTTTATCAAGGGACAAAATTACTTCTTTCTACACTCAAGGAAATTAGAGTAAATATTGTAGCAAGAAAATCATTTTTAAACAACATTCATTATTTAACAGTGATTAACAAGAAGAAACTAGTCCAACAAATAGGAATGGTTAAATAATTTGTAACAAATTCATTCAGTAGAATTACTCTACACCTATTTAAAATCATGCTTTTGAAGACTAATGACAAAGAAAATGCACACAATAAAAATTAGTGAAGATAAATAACTAGTTACAATATGATCTGACTCTAATTATGTAAAATAAGACACATAGGCTATGTTGATAGTGGCTACCTCAGGGTGGTGAGATTACAGGTAATTTTTTTTCTTTACATATAGTTTCTGTGTTTTTAAATTTTTTACAATGAACATATATTACTCTTATAATCAGAAAATATATGTACATAAAATAAACTATTATTCTCTAACTTCCAAACTTAATAATAAGTCCAACTTTTAAAAGAGTACCATCAAAAGCTTGTCTTTCATGGAAAAACAATCATATCACCTCTAAAGATGATACAAAATACAGTACGGTATTTTTTATTCACTATAACCCTTTGTCAGCAAGATTAGTCATATCTGATATGATATTGGTTTATCTTGCCTGATATGATATTGGCTTAACTATAAAACAAATATTAGGATCACCTGCAACTCCAGTGTAATAGACTTCCCTGTCTGAAAATCAGCAAGACTTATTTAAGGGGCATTAAAGGATAAGACCTAACTAGCCCTTTTCTGGAAATCAGTAGCATGTTTCAGTGTAAAAGTTCAAAGCAAAACTAGTTCAAAGCTAGTTCCACAGAAGTAGCAGCAAAAACATAAAATGGACCTCAGCAATCACAGAAACAAATCTTCCAGTGTTATCAGACCAAATGCTTCTGAACCTATTAAGAATTTTTAAATTCAATTCAAAGAAATTATGGCACCTTCTAAAGAACAGAAATGGAGTCACTCTTTGTAGGATGAGATATTATTTCGTTCCTATTCTCTCAGTAAAGAGCACCTCATTCATTCAAAGGTGTGCTCTAAAATAAAAGGGTTTATAATCAAATTCATCCTAGTGTGGCTCATAATAAGTGCTTTTTCCTCCTTTCCTCCTCCTCGAGCCACAGCAGTGTAATGCATTTCACAATTGGTTTATGCTTCCTGAAGATCACAACATCTCATGATTCACGTTTATTTCTCTGCAAACATTTAAAGTTCCCTACGTGCAGGCCCTCGACAAGGCCCCAGGGACACAAAGCCCTCAAGGACCTGGGGTTTAGAGAGTGCCTCGAAAGTCACATAAAATATAAAGTTCTGTAATTTGCTCTGCTAGGTATATCATTAACCACATATGTAAATTACTATTAGCAGCATTTGATGGAAACACTTTTAAAAGGAACGTTCATCCGAGGGCCCTTTGTCATCTCTCCTTTCTTGTGCCATCTCCCTTTTCAAGGAAAACTTGGTTCAACAGAGACCATTAGGCATGTCATGGCAGTTGAGACATGGTTCCTTGGGACTTAACTTTTTATTCCAACACTGCAATTACTACTTTAAGATAAATGTCACATTTAGGAATGGGCACAGATAAAAATATTCCTAATCTCGTCATTCAGTTTCTGTGAAAATGTTACAGAATGGTTCCCATTTCTCATGCTTTTGTTACAGACTGTGTTGGAGAAATGCTGGCCCCTGTCAGTTTTTTGATCACTCCCCAAAAAAGAACAAATCCAGGCACTATTCACATTATTCAGTATTCTGCAATCACCTGTGCACATTTCAAAACCTCTGTCATGTGCCACGAAAAGGTTTTCTAGAAGTCAGATATATGAAATCTACAATTTCACAACACTGAGAAGTGCAAATGGTTAACAGCTAATGTGTGTGCATAATTATTTCAAAATGAAGAGGAAAATGTTCAGGACTATTTGTAACTTCTTCTGCCTTTCTTAGAGTAGTAAAAAATAAGAGAAAGAGAAATAATAAAAACAAACAATAGAAAAGCTATGAAAGCCAATAAAGACTTTCGCTTATGAAAAAAGCTGCACTCGGTGCACAGGGTGAATTCTTCTGGACAAAATCTTCCCAGAGTTTTGGGACCCGGGAAGCCATTGTTGTCAATAATTTTCCTGTAATGTTTCACGGAAGGTTTGGGTTCAAACTGATCTGCAGCGTAACGATAGAGGCCAAACTTCGGAGCTGTGCGATCGTTAAATGAATAAGCAAAGTATCCACAAAGATTGACACCATCCAATATGTAGGCTAGAAAAACAGAAGGACAAAACAATAGTTATTACAATATTTTGCACACAACACTTTACTTTTACAAAGCCGTGGTGCATCTGGGAAAATTTCAATACCATTTAATAAAACTTCAGACTTAATCAGAAAAGACTTCTTTTACACGAAAACGAATAATGTACTTGGGTTAAATCTTTATGTACATGGAGCAGATAAGACTGCTGTGAAGCCGTCTGAGATGGAAGACAAGATGGTCCACGCTTTTATAGGCCCAGAGAAGGTGCTAGGGATTTTCCAGCTCCCACTTTTAGCTAAACTCTTTTATCCCCATGGAAAATACTAGCTCTCTTGGACTTTCTCGGTGGGGCAAGGAATGGATAGCACTTCGCTCTGAGGGTGACAGTGGGTGTATCTGTTTGAGAGTTTCTCTCAGGTATCAGGCCCTCACGTGACATAACCTTCAAGAGACTGCTTTTTAGGGCTCCTTACCTTTCAGAGCTTCATTTACATAATTCTGCATGTAATACATCCTCAGCTGGTCTTGGGCCTCACTCGGATCATCATCGATGCCGTTGGATATGATGTACATGGGGAGGTCTCCATACTTTGACTTTAGCCAGTTCAGCACTCTGCGTAACCCCCAGGGCACCACTGCCACCTGGCTGGGAGAGTTGAGCCAGGTGATGTCCGTCATTTCCTGCACTTCCAGGTAATCATTATATTTCATTGGATCTTCTTTTTCCCAGTCCACGAGGATGGTGGTGTAATGGCTTAAAGCCAAAAAGTCAAAGGAACCCCGGATTAGCTTTTTTTCATCTTCAGTGAAATAAGGTAGAAGGAAATTGTTTCTTTGGTTCAGCCAGTCCCTCATCACAGGCGGATAATCTCCAGAGCCGAAAATGGGCTCGGCCAGCCAGCCAATGTCAAATTCCAAAACTCTCTCTGCCGCCTCTTTGTCCTCTTGGGAGAAAGGGCAGGCCGGTTCTATCCAATCAGCCTGCAAGGCTATAGATATTTTGCCTTTCTGAGAGCGCCTAAACTTTTCATCATACACGCGCCAAGCTAAGGCGTGGGCCTTCAGAAGATTGTGCCCCGCACTGTACGTCATGTTCCGCGTGTACGGCTCGCTCATCGTGATCCAGAAGTTGACGTGGTGGCCGAGATCGCTGAAGCACAGTGTGGCATACTCTGCAAAAGCCAGGGCGGTGTGGGGGTTCTCCCAGGCGCCGTGCTTGGCCAGGGCGCGCGGCAGCCCTTGGTGCGGGGCGGAAGGTCGCCACAGGGCCACCACGGGCGTGACTTTGGCGCGCACCAGTTCGCTGACCAGGCAGCGGTAGTAGTGCAGGGCGGTGCGGTTCACCTGGGACTGGTTCCCCAGCGGGAGGATCAGCGCCCAGTCCAGCGCGAAGTGAAAATGCGAAACGTGCATCTCCCGCAGTAGGGAGATTTGGGGCCGGATGGCAGCAAAGTCAACACAATAGGATTTCCTCTTCTTGGTCACAAGCCCGTCCACCTTAATGAGCCTCTTGCTGTGGTGGACATCCCAGAGGTAAACGTTCGGGTCGGTAAACTGAGACAGAGTGGTGTCGACCTACAGGAGGAGCGTAAGCGTTACCGTATTACGCATTTCTTTCTTTCTTTCTTTCGTGAGGAAGATTAGCCCTGAGCTAACATCTGTTGCCAATCCCCCTCTTTTTGCTGAGGAAGATAAGATTGGCCCTGGGCTAAGATTCAGGCCCATCTTCCTCTACTCTATATGGGGAGGCCGCCACAGCATGGCTTGGTGCGTTGTTCTGGGCCTGGGATCTGAACGGGAGAAGCCTGGGCGGCCAGAGCACAGTGCGCCAACTTAACCACTATGCCGCCACCAGCCAGCCAGCATCAATGCATTTCTTTCAACAAAACTAGCAAGCAAAATGAGCAAAAATAGAAAGCTTTCTAGCTGAAAAGTTAAACTGTTTTTCATAAATACTAAGTTCCTGAGGGGAAAAATACTCCACTTTGTTTTATGCACATTTGTTTTAACCACAGTACTCTCTAACTCTTGAACTGTTACTTTAATATTAAAAAAAATCTGAATTTTTTTGGTCACTTAGGTTGACAAACAATGAGTCTCACACACCTCTGGTCTGTGTTAAGCAAGCAGAGTACCTTTGGATGTTTTTCTTTTGATATAAGAAATCACTAATGATCTAAGACTTTCAAATTAAAAAAAAAACTAGACAAAAAAAGATAAAGCTTAAAACCTGAGTGAGTTAGAGTCAGAAAATGAAATATTTAAAATTAAATTGTGCTTCTTAAAATCACATTCTAAATTGAAGTCTGCTCTAGATAGAGGACATGTTAAATAAGCGTAATGTCACCTTTCATTGGCTTCAGTGTCAATGACAGAATTTAACAAATTCAACCTGACCGATGGTAGAAAGTGAAAGAGAATGTGGAAATAAAGAACGATATTGTCATTCATTCATAAAGGGATATTTTAACGTAGTTTTTAAAATTTTTCTGTTATTTTTTCTGTGACAATCATGACAACAATGGTTCTCAATCATCTGATATACAAGTCTCCAAAATGAAAATAGGTATTTAGGAAAAATAGACAAATTGTAAAATCAAAATCACAAAATCCTCCACGGAGGGAATGCAAACAGAGAGTCCAGCCCAAAGACCTGCTTGCCTAAGCCAGTTTTCTCCTCGGAAATAATCCTGTTAGAACAGGCTCCTTGGTTTGACCCTCTGTATAAAAGCAGGGGTCAGATAAACTCCAGTTTTGAATCTCTAGCAGAGGTTTTGTTGCATTTCACAGGCCTTTTGCAAATGAACTGGTGTTTCTCTGGAGGGGTCAGTACTGTGTTTATAAAGGAAAGTAATAAAAAACAGCGTGGCGGGGGAAATTGCTTTTTTGGAGAATTGTTCCTTGTAGATCACCCACGCATGCATTTCCCCTAATACTGTGGGAATGCTGGCAGAAGTATTTTTCCACTGTGATGCACCCACAAATCATGTTTCCTCAGCTTTGCAAGAGAAAATATTTGCATGCTCTTTTGAAGTGAAAGTGTTCATAGCTCGAAGGACTTTTTTGGATTATTTTTATAGAGCCCTCAGGTGACTAAATTCATAACTTTTCTACCATAATTGTTCCAGAACAACAGCTTTTATTAAACAAATCTGAAAGACTAAGGTATAATTTCTGGGAAAAAAATCTTTTTTAAAAATACAGGACATTGAGGAATGAGTATTTAGGCAAAATTCTATCTAATTTTCATTAATTTGTTGCCATTTCTTAATAAAAAATGAAAGGGGCCGGCCCAGTGGCATAGTGGTTAAGTTCATGCTCCGCTTCAGCAGTGCAGGGTTTGCGGGTTTGGGTCCCGGCATGGACATACACACCGCTCATCAAGCCATGCTGTGGCAGAGTCCCACATACAAAATAGGGGAAGATGGGCACAGAGTAAGCTCAGCAACAATCTTCCTCAAGCAAAAAGAGGAAGATTGGTAACAGATGTTAGCTCAGGGCCAATCTTCCTCATCGAAAAAAAAAAAAGAAATAATAAAGTTGAACTTTTCAGGAGGAATGGGTATAAAGTATGTATTTAGTATGTAATAGAAGAAACTTCTCTTAACAGTGACCAATGTTTAAGAAGCTCTCTGTCCTCAGTATGTAGCAGCTTCTGAACCTATCTTTACTATGGGCATTAGTGGTCATGGGAAAACAAACCTGTCAGCTGGGAAATTAGGTCCAAGCACAGTGACAATCCATGTGAATAAGCGTGAGATCAGTCTTCAGGCAGCTGGTGTGCTTAATGGAATATTATTTTTAAAGTTTTCCAGGCAAAATGCATGCCTCATTAATATTAAGAGTTTGAAATACTAGCCAGGAGGGAAAAGATAAATTTCAATGGTTTAAAAATCACTTCTTGGGACTTTAATATAATATATTAAAAGTATAGAGTACTACTTATAAACTAAAACACACACACACACACTCTTCAGAACTGACCTAGCAAAAAACTAGCTTTTACTGTGTCAGTAGGAAGTTAGCTTGGGAAGGGCAGTGCCAAAATAATATAAAGCTCAAGGCGAAAAGCAGAAAGAAGAAAACAGCAATTGCAGCCTTTTTCCACTAGAGAGCTTCCAGAGAAGTTCAGGTCCACCGTGAGTTTGAGAGTGACTGAATTTTGTGTTTGGCTGGTTCTGCCTAGGAGAGGACTGGGGGGCTCTGCTGGTGGAGAAGTAGGGACCCTGAGCTGAAGAGCTAAAAGGGCAGTGCAACCTGAGAGAAAAGGTCCAGTGGCTGACAGATCAAAGTCTAAAACAACTGCTTCTGAGGAGCAGAGAAAGGAATTCTCTCCCCAGCTTCCTTCCTCTTCACTGCCATGCTCGCTGCATCAGACCCGAGTTTCTCTTTTCTCTCAAGGAAACAGGATGTACTCTTAAAACCTTCTCACTACTCACCAGTTCCCAAGGCAAACATGGTCCTTGGATGGGAACAGAGCAGGAGGGAAAGGGCTCCCTCCAACATCCCCATGCTTCCCTGAGTTCACACCTCTGCACAGAAGGGCTGGCAGAGACCTCTTCACAAGGGACTGAAGTGGGAATTACCTGCCCAGGCTCTGGCTGCTATCAGAGATCAGCGCGGAGCATGAGCCCTCAATGACTAGGGGCACAGGGCCCAGCAGGGAGCTGGGCACGGCAGAAGGGCAGGAGAAGAACAAGGACCAGGGACCATCCGCCCCAACCCCACTAAAGGGGAGGAAGAGGGAGGGACTGTGGAGGCCGTCTTGTCCCTTCGTCCCTCTCTCCCTCACTCCTTCTCCCTCACCAGCACCACTTCTGCCCCTTCAGATCCTTCTTGAACCTCACTGTGGATCCCACTTGCAGGAGAGAAATTAGGATAGGGAGGTTCCAAATAGCAGTGGGCTGAGGAGAAGGAGAGATGGAGGAGGGAGGAAAACCCCAAACTGGGCAGGGTGGAGCCGAGACTTGCTGCACTCAGATAATCCTTGCAAACACGATGTTCCTCAGTCGCCTTTGCAATGTAAGGATGGGATTTAAGTTCAAGACTCCTCCTAAAACTAACTAGATGGTCTGAAAAAGACATAAGCATAATACAAACCAGCAAAAAATGTATTAAGGATAGTGTCAATTTATTTCCTTGTAAATAAAAGATTTCAATTTGATATTTACAAGAAAACAGCAACTCATTTCAACTAGAAGGTCTTTCCTCAGATCCAAGCATTCTTCCAAATACTTCTTTTGAACTGAAGGGTAACAGAAAACGCCACCACCAAATATGACTGTAGGAGTTCAGGGCATGCCACCCAAAACATGTTCCTTGGGTATATTGATTATTTTGAGCTGCAGGCACTTGAAAAATAGCAAATGCAGAGAAAGGCTTTCTCTGAACTCCCCTTATCTGCCTAAAAGACAGGTCCTCCAATAGGAACTCAGTTGTCATAAATCCCCTCCCGGGAGTTTCAAGGAGTTTCGTCAACCAGGGAAGACTGACTCTTGCCACAGGAGAGGAGACTAGAAGTCAACTTTGTCACAGACTATCCACCTCCCATCTGTCCTTCCAAGGGTCCATTCATCTTTCCTAAAAATCATTTACTCTCCCTTAAGAGGCCTATATCTTCCCCTCCCCTTTCCCTATTAAGATGGCAATCAGGCCTGGATTCTAAGCCACCTTGGGGAGTTACTCATTTTTTTCTGAGTATCTCCCATGTATACATGAGGTATACATGTTACTAAATTTCTGTTTGTTTTTCTCTTCTTAATCTTTTATTACAGGGGTCTCAGCTAAGAACTCAGAATGGTCGAGGGAAAGTTATTTTTCCTCCCCTACAGAACCAATGGATTGGCTTGAAGCACCCAGCATGCTAACTCCCATTGCTTGTCTATGATACTGAACTCTGACTCTGTCTTGATCTCTATTTTCACACTCAGACCCTGTTCAGCAACACCCACCACCACTCTGCTCACTTACCACCACGCTCTGTTCACTCTCATATTATCTGTGTCCACCATTTTCCCTCAGTAGACTCCTTTGACAGCAGGGGTCGTATCTTACTCATCTCAGTGTGCACTCCCCTCAACCGAGCACCCCCAGCAACTAACACAGGGCTTTGGACACACTAAGCATCTAATAAGTGCTTACTAAAGTATTCAGTCAAACTCTAGAAAACAAATTCCTTTACAATTGGGGAAATTAAAAATGATATTGAGGATTAACTACACAGTGAGTGCTCAGTAAATTTTGGTTGATCATCTTGAAGACCTTTTTTACCATGTCAATGACTGTTGCTAGAAATGACATTCTGATCAGTGAACAATTGGAGCAAAGGCTTTTATTCTCGAGGTATTTCCGCAGCTTGGGAGGAGGGGTCCACGGTTATGCATCAGGAGGGCTCTTCCTGATGTTCCTGCCTCAATCTCAGCAGCTCCACTGAGATCTCAGATAATTTGGGGTTCTGTGTTACTTCTTGTCTATGGAAGAACTCAATTGCTTTAAAAAGGATTAAAAACCACCGTATTAAAAGCACTTTATCTTTTTACTATCTTATCTTAAATATTCATATATTTTTAATTCGTCCCCCTTCAGGGCTGATTTAAAGTGCAAGGTGAAGGTAGGAAGATTTTTGGAGAGAATGGTGCAGGATTCCAAACTGTGCCCTGGATGTGCTCATTAAGGAACCGTATTTGGCGTGAAGAACGGACAATGTGCCATGATAACCTAATAAGGAAGCACTACTTACTAGTGACAGGGCTTGGTGAGACTGCTGATTGGTTTTGTCAGCTGACTTACTTGAATGTAGTTGTCAACAACTCCCCAAGCAAAGTCACAGGGAAATGTCCCTTCTAGGGGCTGATTTTCAGGTAAAGGAGGGAAGCCATTTTGCTCTATCAGCTTTTGGTAGAACAAGGCTGAAGACTTCGGCAACAACTTTTTATCCTGGCTTAGAAAGTCGACATAGAAGAGTCCACGTCTGATGCTGTAGCCTCTGTGCCACTCGAAGCCGTCCATGAGGGACCACGCCGTGTACCCGATGACGTCTACCCCATCCAGCCTGATGGCTGCAGAGGGAAGAGAGGACATGAGCAACGTGAGCCTTCACTGGGCACTTGCTTCATGATTCAAGAGCATTTGAGGGTTTTACTACTCAAGGAAATAAATCACATATAAGGCTTATTATTTGGTAAACCAATGACTTTTCTTACCGATAAAAGGCTCTACTCAAACCTAGATAACTCTACAAATAAATGTCTTCATGACTGGCTTATCTCCAATATGTTTTTATTCGGATTTCCCTCATTTCCAGTGGGTGCTCTTTGGGCCTGGGAAGATGTCTTGTTCCACTTTCTATCCTAAGCACTAGCATTGTGCCTGATGCAATAAGTGAGTAGTCTTTAAAAGCATGAACTGCTTACTATTTTCTCCAGAAAAGGTGGATATTCCTTTTTCTTTGAAAAGTGTTTTATTCAGTACAAGCAATAAGAACTCCAAGACATATACAGAGATCGAGATATCTAGGGATTTACTTAATTCTTAATATAATCTAAAAATCTAGAGTAGTAACTCTGAAAGTCAAGTAATTTCACACATTATAACCCAGTTTACAAAATGAGTTGAAAAAATTAATTTAAGTTCCTCAAGGCCCCAAATGAGAAAGGTGTTACATAAATGCATTCCTGCTATTGCCAGAATGAATTTCTACGTTATGATTAAAAACTATAAATTCACATAGTTTATTGCAGATCTCAAAGATTGTTTTTCCAGTGGATTTTGGCAGGAAATTAGAATTTTATCCCCAATCCTACCTTTTAAAGTTTCCATTATGAATTTTTTGAGGTAATACATATATTTGGCATCATCTCTCTTGGTGGTCCCTGAGACAAACCAGCCATTTTCCACAATAAATATTTGAGGATGGTTATATTCAAGGTCAATCCAGGAAAGGAGTTGCCTCAGACTGGGAGATTCTAATTGGCGGAACTTCATGTGAGGGTCCAAGAGTTGAAAACTCAAGGTTGGCCCAAAGGAAAGAGCAAAAAAGTCAGCTGTTCCCTTGATGAACTTTTTCTCAGATTCAGTAAAATCAGGGAGAAGAGATGAAAGATTACTCTTCATGCTCTCAGGATAGTCACCATCAATAAATATGGGTTTGGCAAACCAGCCTAGTACAAAGTCAAGAGATTTTTGACATTCTTTGATGCTATGGTTGGTCATTCTTCGAGGATTGATCCAGTGGGAGCTTAGGGCGATGGACACCCGGCCTCCCTGAGTCGGACGGAAAGAAGTATTGTAGAGATGCCAGATTTTGGCATGAGCCTATAAAGAGAAAAACCATGGTGAATTTATCTCTGATTGTCAGGAGAAATATAATACATATTTGAATTCCCAACGCTAATTGTATCTGTTTCTCATCAGGCCTAACCTAGTGACTAACACCACAATGTAAAAATCACCTGGAACCAATAAATTATTTCCGAGGTAGGTCAGCCCACAGTGAGCTGCTACCAGGACTAAAATTATTTCCATTGTTTTTCAGCAGCCAGTGGAAAAATGTGAATTTCTTGTGTTGAATGTGTAGTTATTATTCATACTTTGAAAAGTTAATGAAATAAAAATTCGTTATAATACCTTACTACTTAATTGACTTTGGATTACGTACTTTTTAATTAATAGGCTTCATGAAAAGAACAAATCTCACATCTGTGATCACACCAGGAATTTCTAAATAGGATTATATTTCTTTTATCCTAAGAGACTGGAAGTTTTCAAATTGACTCAAGTGTTGGAGTCAATTTAACATTTTGTATTCATCTCTCATAGCTAAAATTCTACCACATGTCCTCACAATCTTTGTCCTTCCCCAAGAAGAATCAGTGCAATAAATTAAAGGACCAACTCCAATATCTAACCTTGGTCCACCCTCTAGCACTCTGGGACAGTGCTGGCTTCCCGCAGGATCCAGGGTGCAAGGCACAAGTCAAGAGCCAAGAACAGCTAAATACAGCTTGGAGGAGATGAGCTCGCCATAGGTAGTCAGCACTCAGCCGGGGGTTTCCTACAGCAATGAAATGGGCTTTGCTTCCACAAAACCAACTTTATACTCCCATAAAATCTTACAGACTTCTAATAGCTTATTTTCATTTGTTTCCTCTTTATTTACAAAGAATAGTAAGAATTATAGGCTTTTTCCTCCCTTACTTGAATTGTTTCTCTTTACTTTTGATTACCTTGATTTACTTTCCTTATTTTTCTACAAATGCAAGTGCTATTTATCAGCCTTTTACTCCCCTAATATATCCCCTTTGAAAACTGCATTCTAATTCTCTGTTTGACTCATCTTCTCCAAAATGATCAAGCCAATTTTCACTCCACTCCCTGGGCCTGAAGAAGTTCTGTCACTCAGTATGCCAAATGTCCTCTTCATTTTTCCTAAATATTCTTCTTGTGGTTCATTTCAGTACAGGCATCCAAGAATGGCCTCATCCCCATTCTTATGAGTTCGGCCAAACATTTCAATGGAATATAATAATTTATATCTAACTTTCAGTTTTAGTTTCTTAGTAAATATCTACTGTTTCATTTCAGTGAATGCATTTTTTTCATGACCTGAAGCAGCTATCTACATGCTAAGAAGGAACTGGAGAATAAAACATTGATCAGAAGAACAGCGGCATTTGCCTATGTGATTCAAGAAACTTGGGCTTAATCATGCTGCTGGCTTTGTGATGTCACCCACCCTTTTCTGTCTTCCTTGCTTCCACCCCTCCCTCTCTCCCATCCCCATTGACAAGAAATCTCATCACGTCCTATAACAGTCAAACAAAAAAGAAAGGGAGCAGTCCAGGCTAGTACTCAGGATATTGGACAAGAGGACTCTCCTAATTTGGTCCAATTGCATCCTACAGATAGTCATGTCCTCAACCTAAAAGACATACCTCTACAGAACACGTGCTGTGATGGGGAGAGTGGGGGGTCATCAAGTAGGAGTGAGAGCAACCCAAGAACTTCCTAATCTGGGTCAGTTTTGCAGGTAGCTGAAGTAAGAGTCATAGAATAGAATTGTCTACAATCATGGACCATTGTTCTAACCTTGAGTACCTCAACATGGCTCAGAGGGGATCTGGTGAGGAAACAAATGACTTAGACCATACGGAAGTACACACGTGGTCTTTGATATCAGATAAAATTCCTACTCTATCGCTTTTAGTTATGTCCTACTCTATCACTTTTAAACCACATTACTTAACCTGGGAAGGTAAGACTAACTTTCCTGTGTCTCTCACAGGGCTGTTATGAGGATTAAATGAGAAAATTTATGTAAAACATCTAACACAGAGTTTGCATACAGTAGGGTCTCCATGAATGCTTATTCCTTCTCTCCCTATAGGATGAGCAGAACGAAAAAGAAAAGCATTGAAGATAAGGGAAACACCACCTGCTGAGGAATTCAGCCCATAACCAAGATGTGATGTGGTGACACAAGCTGGGGTTTGGATTAGAAGAGTCTTAGGTTTGGATCCCAAGTCCTCTATTACCAGTGAGCCTCAGTTACTTCTCTGCACAAATGTGAATAGCATCTATTCTCCTGTAGGGACATTGTAAGGATTAAATGATATGATGCAAGTGAAAGTGTCTATTAAGTAGTTGATTATTTTAGAGAATATAAATTTGCAGCATTGGCAAGTATGAAGGTTAATTTTACGTGTCAACTTGACTGAGCTAAGGGACCCCCAGATAGCTGGTAAAACAGTTGTCAAGAGTTTAGCTAAGATACCCGATGGTATTGCTGCCTCAGCATCCATTTTATTTGGCAAAACAGCCAGCAGGGACCTTAAACTGACACTAGCCCCTCATGCAAGCACATGCTCTGGACAGCAGCCAGCAGAGCCACAAGTAAAGGTCAGTTCCTGGCATGACTTCCCCAACAGCCTGTGATCAACAGTCTCCCTGCCTCCTAGGGCCCTTTACATGAGACCCCCATGAGGCTTACCAAAACCCCTCTTTTGGTTTGAATTGGCCAATCTGGCCTTAGCCCGGGAACCTCAAAGCACTGCACCCACAGACCCTAAAAAGGCATGTGTCCCAGGCCCTGTCTTTCTCTCTGTCTGCACTCTGCCTTAACCTCCCCATGTGGCCGCTCAAGGCATGCCATTTATGTACTTCCTCCAGGACCTATAGAGCAACAAACTTCTCTTTCTCAATTTCTCTTGTGGTCTGTTGTTGAACCAAGGATCACCATGTGGCACCCTGTGCTCCACTTAACAAATGTTAATTTAACAAAATCATAACAACATCATTTCTGGGTGTATCTGTGAGGGTGTTTCTGGAAGAGATCAGCATTTGAATTGGTAGACTGAGTAAAGATCACCCTCACCAATGTGGGTGGGCATCATCCAATCCATTGAGGGCCCGGATAGAACAAAAAGAGGAAGGAAAGGTGAATTTGCTCTTTGATTGAGCTGGGACATCCATCTTCTCCTGCCTTTGGACAGTGGCACTCTGGTTCTCAGGCCGTTGGACTCAGACTCGGACTTACACCTTTGGCTCCTCTGGTCCTCAGGCCCTCAGTTTTGTACTGGAAATACATCACTGGCTTTCCTGGACCTCCAGTTTGCAGACAGCAGACCGTGGGACTTCTCAGTCTCCATAACCACATGAGCCAATCCCTCATAATAAATCCCTTTCTATATATCTATATATATCCCATGGTTCTGTTTCTCTGGAGAACTCTGACTAATACAGAAAGCATCTTAGATGTCACTTGGCTTAACCACTCACCTCACTCCAAAACTCCCACTTGATCTGTTATTTGACTGCTCTCCACAGCAGCCCAATTTGGTGGTCATCCCATGCATGGCATCTTCTCCAGGAAGGCGCCCCACCCCACCACCCACCTGCCACACTGAGCTGCACGTCCCTCCTCTGGGCACCCTCCAAGTCTTAGGCACACTTCTCTTACATCACTTACTGCAGGTAATGATGTCCTTCCCCAGACTGAGCTCCCTAAGGAGTTCCCTCATCCCCTCCCTGGCACATGGAGGCCCAATTGTCTGTTAAACTGAACTCAACTCTGCTTCATCACCTCCTCACGAGGCAGTTCACTCCATTTTCAGATGGTACATTTGAGTAATCAACTACTATGAGGCAAGGTGTAGGAAGGTCACCATCTAGGATGTTACAACAACTGAGGATGATTAATAAGGAGATGGTTATGTATGATTTTGCACTGCTTTCTAATTATTCCAGGTATGTTAATCTTATAAGCTTGTTATCTTAAGATTGAGATTTAATAAAGCTATTGACAAGGACTCAGGGAAACAATTAAGAGTATGAGCAAGAATGTTCATCTAAATACTATTTCTAAAAGCAAAATATTGAAAATAATTGAAAGGTTCAATATTCAAATAAATTTACACTCATAAATGCATGTTTTAATACATTATGGTATGACTAAAAATATTCTACTATTCAGACATTATAAATAATACAGAAGAATGTCTATTAATGTGTAAAAAATGTTTCTAAAATACTAACTGAACAGAAAAGGTTACAAAGCAGTAAGTAGAGTTTAATAACAATATGTACATAAAGATCTGGAGGGATTTATAACTTGTTAAAAGAGGTTTTGCAGCAGCAGTGTGGGTGGTATAATTCTCTTCGTTCTGCTTTTCTATATTTTTTTCATTTCCTACCATACATACGTCTTGCTTTAGAGGTAAGAAAAAAACTTAAATTCAAAAAAGGAAAATAACTCATAGGAGCTGGATGGTAGGTCCTGCTTGAACTGTCCTTGAAAGCAATGATCTAATTAACCCCTGCCTAATGGTTCTCTAAACTACCCTACTGTCTCTGCCTCAAATTCCAAGTCCCAGGCACATTGAACCCTACGTGAAGTTCTGAAATCCCCTAGGCTTCCATGCTTTACTAGGTGCAGCTCTCTCATGTTACTCCCAGCCCTTCCAGCCTCACCCTCCTTCAAACCTCTGCACAGACATCACCACCACCAGGAATTCTTCCCTGACATCTTCTCTCTCCCCACCCTTAAATGTCCATTCCATATGTCTCCACAGTTGGCCTCTACCAAAGACCTTAACCATATTATGTTACATTATTTAAGTGCCTAGATTGTGTTTCAAAGGAATTGACTAGGTCTTTTATCTCTCTATTCTCAGATTCTAGCAAAGTGTTGGGTCAGAGTAAATATTCAATAAACAAATATGGAGGAATGAAGACTGGCAGTAAGAACCAAATCAAAGAGTCTGGGACAGAAGCAAACATTTTTCTGAGCCAGAGCAGGAAAATTCTCTCATAAGATA